TCTGGACTTCGTTGTCCTGAAACGAGCGTCCTTTAGCCTTCAGGTGTAGGTGACCTGCTGAATCCTGTCCTGAGGATAATTCGCAGTTAATCTGCTAATTTTAAAAGTAGCTGGAGTTAAAATACTGATAATAATGATTAAATGTCAGGATGGAAATATTCAGGAAACAGGAGAAAAGCAGAAAGCAGGCGGGTGTTTAATGAACAAGCAGGAGGAAGCGGCACCATGGCTACAGAGGCTGTGAGTTCTGGATGAGTGACAGGTTTGCTGATTAGACCAAACGAATCGGTGAGGAAACCTGAAATAACTGGAAGACTTCAGCGTACAACCAGGATGATCTTAAACCAGTGACTCTGCAGACTAGAAACACTGGAAACTTTAACATTTAGAGCCAGAATATCTTTAATTTAATGACCAGGTCAGATATATTTGATTTGCTTTCTTGTTTATCTTCACAATGATTTCAAGTTTGTTGACAAACTTATTTTACAAAGGATTAAATGTAGAATTTTGATTTCTAATTTTTAATCAAAATAAGTCATAAATCGTCCATGAAAGGACAGTAAAGGAAAGCAAACCGTTACGTTTCAGCAGCCGGACTGAGGGACCAGAAGGACCTGAGGAAGGTGTTTGGTGATGATGATGATGGCTCTCAGAGCAACATGTAATCCATCTTTTAATGGATGCATGGGAATTATGAGTCTGGGATTTTAGGATCTTAGTTTAGGAAAAGAAATTCCCTTAACCAGACATGTTTAATGAAGCAGAATATTTAGCTGTTGGGTGGTTTATTTTTTCCTTACATTTTTCTTTTTGCTTTAAAATGAATCCAGGCTTTTTGCCAGAAGTTACTTTAGTTGACCCAGAACTGCTTCCTCCATTTAATCTTTATCCTCCCAGTTTTAAGCTTGTTTGAGCTTAAAATGAAAGAAAAACGCTAAAAAACTGTCTAAACCAGTTAGAAAATGGTCAGCTCCAGGTTTATGGCGTTTGGAAAACAGCCATATAACAGAGGAAATGTGTAATAAGGAGTTTAATTTAACTGCAGACTGTAAAGTGGATTTCTTCTATGACCATTAGAGAAAGCAGAGTTCCCTTCAGAGCGGAGCTTTAATTATTAACCATCAGAGTTCAGCAGGTTCCTTCAATAACTCCATGTTCTTCTCAGCTCCGCCTCTTCGCTGCTCCTCTGCTGGTAATTCATAAACACCTGACAATCGCTGCTCCGATACCTTCTATCTGAAAGAGTGGATTCAGTTCAGCTGATGTTTGGTTGTTGGGAATCTGAAGCCTGCTGTTGATCATCATGACTCATCTGACTGGTATTAATGGATAAATACCTCACAGAGGCTTTGGCCTGTTTAGTTATCAATTATATAATCTACAATATAATCTGATAATCTGTTGGTTCTTTAACTTTGTCGCGTTATTTAAATCCAAAGCAGCCTTTTGATACAAACCTGATATGAAGTCTCTGCCAGATTTAAATAAAAAGTAAGATCAGAAAATCCTTTCTTTGTTTGTTTTGAACTGAATATTTAAGGAGATTGCTGCTTCAGCCGCTTTCTACAGCCGGCTGAAACTTCATAAGGGAAATAATTCTCAGTCTGTTATATTTCTTCCCTTCTCCTTTGCCTTTGATGAAGAACTAACTTGGTGCGTGATGCTTTCCTCTCCCAGTCTGAGCCGTAAATGCTCAGGCGACCCATCAGTCCTGCTTCTGACGAGAGGAAACAGCTGCTCTGAAAGCTGTGAAAGGTTAACAATCCCCCACACCAGTACATCACACCTGGAATGTGTTGCCTTCAGAGCACCGAGGGCAGAGCTGCAGATGGATGACAGGTCGTCATGGTAACGCTGTCTCCTCTTATCATCTGTAGATGCTGCTGAATATTTTACTTTCTTTTCATGTTCAGTTGATGAGAAATGTGACTTCCTGCTGAGGACAAACAACAGAGACCTTAAATGTGGTGATTTAACAGCGGAGAACGTTGGAGAATGTTTAAGTTTTCATCTTCCTCCGGCGCATCCCTGCTCTCCGGTTGGGTTCTAAGGTTTCCAAACAGGTTAAAAGTCTGCTTTTGACTAACTGCTTGAAGTTTACTCCCCAGTAGCTCTACGGCAGAGGAAGTCCTCCAACCAGCTTTTAGATTTCAAAGCTGAACCTGTTTCTAGGCAACAGGAGAAATTTAATCTGCAGCACAGACCATACAGAAAACTGCAGCCAGGGTCGGTTCAGGCTATAGAAAGTTCTCTCCGTCTGACCGTTTCCCCCCATCAATACATAAATAAAGAGTTTTCAATGCTTTCTTTCAGACATTCTGGACATCATCTCCTGATGTCTGGATCAGCTGCTTCTTCCATAACCTTGATGTCTTCAGTGGTTCTGCTGCCTGTTTGCTTTCACTGCCTTCCTGCTGCCGGGATGGGGAGGGTTGACCAGACATCTGAAACCTCCAGCTTTCTGTAACATCAACTAAACTATCATCAACAAGTGTCGATGTCTCGATCCGTAGAACAGGGCTGACCTACTTTCTGTGTCTCACTCTTCTTCTTCCCTGCTGATAACCTGTGAATGCTGGAGGACATCTGTGAGATTGAGGCGTTGGCAGGACGCCCACGTCCTTCCAGCGACACTCTAAAAGAAATGTAGGTGAAGACAAACTGATCTGACCGACAGAGACGGACTATCGGTAGAGCTGAGAAGCTTTGGGAAGCGGTTCCAGACATGAGACGGTATAAATGAACTGGAAGAGGATTCCCCATCTGCACATCTGGAATGATTCGATGCTGGCAGATAAGAATCCTCCAACATTTAAAGCTAAATCAGCCGTTGTTTCTAAGCCCTACACCACCTACATTTCTGTTCCCTTTGGGATCAATGAAGTCTTTGAGCCAAACTGCATCTAGATTTAAATGTAAATAACAGGCGTCACCAGCTAGCTTACCTAACAGGAGGATTTCTGCTCTCATAGGTTTTAGATCTACAGATAGGTCGGATTACCCTGGGGATCCAGTTCAGGGTGATGACCCGGTTTCTGAGCCACCCGACGCTGTTCAGTTTCAGCTCCTTTATTTCATGGAGGGTTAAAACGTCATAAAATGTTTCATTAACAGCTAACAGGTTCTGCAGTTAACAGAAATCAGCGTCATGAAAATGGCAGATTTCTAAAACAAAGTGTTGAGATCCAAACATCCTGAATTGGAAAGAAGAATTTCTCTGAGAACAGGAAGATCCCAGAGATTAGTGATGATCTAACATCAAAGCTTTTATTTGCTTTTACTTATCAAATGTAATAAACATTCTTTTACATTCTCATTAAATTGGATTAAAATAATTGAGAGGGAAAATTGTGGCACACTTTGATTTTTGTATTTATTTTGTCTGATATGACTCTCTTGGTGACATGGAAGTTAACTCTCTAGCAGGTGTTTATCTATAGATCCATCAACACACCATGGATCCATCCGCCAACCAGGAGAGCTCTCAGTGTGACTGTCTGATAAACGTCTTTGTCTTCAGACTGAGCAGAGCGGTTGATCTGCTGACTGTAGGCGCTCCATCCGCTGCAGAACGCTGAGAAGATCTGTGAGACGTAGACACTGGTCGGGTCGATTATCTACTAAACTATCTCTGTCCTGCTCTTTTCGGACCAAAACCTCATGATACCTTCAGACACTCAATACCTCCTAAATATCATTTTAATCATTTTCACTTGGTTTATGTAAAAGATCAAACTTGAACCAAACGTCAGACACTTGTATGCTGTTTGCAGAGATGGCAAAAGTACTCACTTTCCATACTTGAGTAAAAGTACAGACACTTGTGTTAAAAAATACTCTGGTAAAAGTGGAAGTACTGATTAAACTTCTTTACTCAAGTAAAAGCAACAAAGTACAGGCTCGTAAATTTACTTAAAGTATAAAAGTAAAAGTAGAAACCACTTTTTTCATGCCGTTGCCTACATTTTAAATGGATGTCTGCCAATAGGACTAGATCTCTGCTGTGTTCATTTTCAATCATCTCGTCGTCCATGCTACTATGCTAACGCCACCGCCACCAAGCTGCAATGATTTGCCGCCAATGAATACCGCCGAATCTGTCGATTCATCTTGTAGTGGTGCGTCAAATGCAACGTAGATTCCCATCCAATTAGATTGAATTTGGTATTGATGACATGAAAAATAATAACGGTAACTCCATTGAAATGATTCAAAACTAAAGTAACGAGCTAATTTTTTAAAATGTAAGGAATAGAAGTAAAAACTTGCCATAAAAATAAGTAGTAAAGTAAAGTAAAAATATCAGAAAAATCTACTTGAGTACAGTAACAAAGTATTTGTACTTTGTTACTTCCCATCTCTGGCTGTTTGCAGTATCAGCACCACGGACAGCACCTCCTCTCCTTCCATTTGAACACATTTTAAAATCCCACGGATAGAAAATATTATAGTCTACATCAGCTGTAAATCAGGACATCATTCAGTCTAAATGATTGTTGGAGTTGAGATGAGATTAGCAGATTAAACAGATTAAAGATCAACCAGAACAGGGTGGTTCACGTCACACTGCTTCAACCAAGCACCTTAACTGTGGATTCCTGCTTTTATTGGGTTTGTCTGAAGGTTTCTGCTTTAAGCTTTTCCTTCTGAAGCTCAAATTCTTTTTGTTTCCTTCTGATTAGGATCATCAGACGCCTCACTGAGAGCTGAATCGGATCCTTTGGTCACATTAACTCCATCCCAAGCCTGAGTTGGTGGAACACAAAGAAAAAAAATGAGCCACACTGACGATGTGTTCCCTTTTCCTTCGTAGAATCATTCAATTTATTTACTGAACTTGTTTCTGTAAATAAAAATATGTTTTTGGGGATAAAACCAAACTAAAAAATCTTCCCACCTGGACTCGTTTTATGGGATTTTAGTCATAATACCCCAAACCATCGAAGCTCAGCAGCTTGTTGGTCCCAAACAGGACAGGATGACATGAAGTTTTATAATTTTTTCTTCAAATCAAAATATTTATTTCATTGGATGATATCAATCACAGCCCAGCTGGTCAAACAGGACAACAGCTTCACGAAGCTAATCCTGGTAACAAAACAACAACATGAATCTGAAAATTTACTCCAAAAGGATCAAACAGCTGATAACGCCAGATGGGAAGGAAACATTCCCATTTTTCCAGCTTCCTCCCCCCGGAGCGTTGGTGAGGGAATCAGATGAGAAGGGTTTCTCCTCCTGCTTCGTTTTCGGGGCTAATCTACTGCACTAAGACGAGCGTTCAGCCTCTGAGACACAAAGCTACACACTGAGCAGCTAACAGTTACAGGAAGTTACAGAAACTTGGCGTGTGGAGTCTGGGTGGAGTGGCAGCTACACGATATGGCAACCATTTGAACATTGATGCTGAGGTCTCCGATCTATAAGTCCATGAAGGGGCTACAGAAGATGGGAGGGAGTTAGGTCTACACCAACGTTAGAGGAGTTCCACCTGCAGACTGATCAGAAACGTTCCCATCAGACAGCGGTTTTCCCAGCATGTTAACGTGCAGGAAACTGTCTGCAGGTTAAAGCGCCAGAATGCAGCCGTCCAGCTTCGCTAAAACAAACGCGTCATGCAGGTTTGCTGAAGGAGTCCGTTAGCAGGAGGTGAGGAGATGAGGAGGAGAATTAAGAGTCTGCTGAAGTCCTGCTGATGCCTCAGAGATTTTGGTCTCCCGTAGCAGGTTCTCCCTAGAAGGTCAGCACTGAAACGGGGAAGAGAGTCACTGGCAGAGGCAGCTTTCAGCTTCATCCAGGGGGGTTGGCATGCAGGGCAGCACAGAGACAGAGAGGAGGAGGAGCAGGAGGAGGAGAAGCAGACCTCTCACTTACAGTCCACCTCCAGGATGGCTCTGATGGACCGCGTCAGTTCTTTGGCCTCCTGAGCGAGAGTGGCTGCAGTCCACGGACTTTTCCTGTAGCGCGGAGGAACGGCGTGAGACGATGAGCCGGCTTTAACGTCACCAGAGCTGCGAAGACAGAGAAGACGAGTCAGAGGAGGAGAAACTACAAAAAACGGTTAAACTGAGTTTAAGCTGCCGAGCAAGTTTAGATCAGAGGAAAACATTGGAAAAAAATAACCTTCAGGAAATTAGATGGAAACTTTATAAAGATAAAGTAAACAGAGAGAGAAATAAGTGAAACATCATGACTGTAGGGGCGTTTCCCTTCCAACGTTCCCTGGATCCATTCCGGCTGTTGCTTCTTCACAGGAAGGTTCAGGGCTGGAGCTCAAACCTGGAGCTCAAACCTGGAGCTCAGGGCTGGAGATCAAACCTGGAGCTCGAACCTGGAGCTCAGGGCTGGAGCTCGAACCTGGAGCTCAGGGCTGAAGCTCAGGGCTGGAGCTCAAACCTGGAGCTCAGGGCTGAAGCTCAGGGCTGGAGCTCAAACCTGGAGCTCAGGGCTGAAGCTCAGGGCTGGAGCTCAAACCTGGAGCTCAAACCTGGAGCTCGAACCTGGAGCTTGAACCTGGAGCTCAGGGCTGAAGCTCAGGGCTGGAGCTCAAACCTGGAGCTCAGGGCTGAAGCTCAGGGCTGGAGCTCAAACCTGGAGCTCAGGGCTGAAGCTCAGGGCTGGAGCTCAAACCTGGAGCTCAAACCTGGAGCTCAAACCTGGAGCTCGAACCTGGAGCTTGAACCTGGAGCTTGAACCTGGAGCTCAGGGCTGGAGCTCAAACCTGGAGCTCAGGGCTGAAGCTCAGGGCTGGAGCTCAGGGCTGGAGCTCAGGGCTGGAGCTCAGGGCTGGAGCTCAAACCTGGAGCTCAGGGCTGAAGCTCAGGGCTGGAGCTCAGGGCTGGAGCTCAGGGCTGGAGCTCAGGGCTGGAGCTCAAACCTGGAGCTCGAACCTGGAGCTCGAACCTGGAGCTCGAACCTGGAGCTCAGGGCTGGAGCTCAGGGCTGGAGATCAAACCTGGAGCTCGAACCTGGAGCTCGAACCTGGAGCTCAGGGCTGGAGCTCAAACCTGGAGCTCAGGGCTGGAGATCAAACCTGGAGCTCAGGGCTGGAGCTCAAACCTGGAGCTCAGGGCTGGAGATCAAACCTGGAGCTCAAACCTGGAGCTCGAACTTGGAGCTCGAACCTGGAGCTCAGGGCTGGAGCTCAAACCTGGAGCTCAAACCTGGAGCTCGAACTTGGAGCTTGAACCTGGAGCTCAGGGCTGGAGATCAAACCTGGAGCTCAGGGCTGGAGATCAAACCTGGAGCTCAGGGCTGGATATCAAACCTGGAGCTCAAACCTGGAGCTCGAACCTGGAGCTCAGGGCTGGAGATCAAACCTGGAGCTCAGGGCTGGATATCAAACCTGGAGCTCAAACCTGGAGCTCGAACCTGGAGCTCAGGGCTGGAGCTCGAACCTGGAGCTCAGGGCTGGAGCTCAAACCTGGAGCTCAGGGCTGGAGCTAAAACCTGGAGCTCAAACCTGGAGCTCAGGGCTGGAGCTCAAACCTGGAGCTCAAACCTGGAGCTCAAACCTGGAGCTCAAACCTGGAGCTCAGGGCTGGAGCTCAGGGCTGGAGATCAAACCTGGAGCTCAAACCTGGAGCTCAGGGCTGGAGATCAAACCTGGAGCTCAAACCTGGAGCTCAGGGCTGGAGCTCAGGGCTGGAGATCAAACCTGGAGCTCAGGGCTGGAGCTCAGGGCTGGAGATCAAACCTGGAGCTCAAACCTGGAGCTCAAACCTGGAGCTCAGGGCTGGAGATCAAACCTGGAGCTCAAACCTGGAGCTCAGGGCTGGAGCTCAGGGCTGGAGATCAAACCTGGAGCTCAGGGCTGGAGCTCAAACCTGGAGCTCAGGGCTGGAGATCAGGCCTGGAGCTCGAACCTGGAGCTCAGGGCTGGAGCTCAGGGCTGGAGATCAAACCTGGAGCTCAGGGCTGGAGCTCAAACCTGGAGCTCAGGGCTGGAGATCAGGCCTGGAGCTCGAACCTGGAGCTCAAACCTGGAGCTCAGGGCTGGAGCTCGAACCTGGAGCTCAGGGCTGGAGCTCAGGCCTGGAGCTCAGGGCTGGAGATCAAACCTGGAGCTCAAACCTGGAGCTCAGGGCTGGAGATCAAACCTGGAGCTCAAACCTGGAGCTCAGGGCTGGAGCTCGAACCTGGAGCTCAGGGCTGGAGCTCAAACCTGGAGCTCAGGGCTGGAGCTAAAACCTGGAGCTCAAACCTGGAGCTCAGGCCTGGAGCTCAGGGCTGGAGCTCAAACCTGGAGCTCAGGGCTGGAGCTCAGGGCTGGAGCTCAAACCTGGAGCTCAGGGCTGGAGCTCGAACCTGGAGCTCAGGGCTGGAGCTCAAACCTGGAGCTCAGGGCTGGAGATCAAACCTGGAGCTCAAACCTGGAGCTCAGGGCTGGAGCTCAAACCTGGAGCTCAGGGCTGGAGCTCAAACCTGGAGCTCAGGGCTGGAGATCAAACCTGGAGCTCAAACCTGGAGCTCGAACTTGGAGCTTGAACCTGGAGCTCAGGGCTGGAGATCAAACCTGGAGCTCAGGGCTGGAGCTCAGGGCTGGAGATCAAACCTGGAGCTCAAACCTGGAGCTCAGGGCTGGAGCTCAAACCTGGAGCTCAGGGCTGGAGCTCAGGGCTGGAGATCAAACCTGGAGCTCGAACCTGGAGCTCAGGGCTGGAGCTCAAACCTGGAGCTCAGGGCTGGATATCAAACCTGGAGCTCAAACCTGGAGCTCAAACCTGGAGCTCAGGGCTGGAGATCAAACCTGGAGCTCAGGGCTGGATATCAAACCTGGAGCTCAAACCTGGAGCTCGAACCTGGAGCTCAGGGCTGGAGCTCGAACCTGGAGCTCAGGGCTGGAGCTCAAACCTGGAGCTCAGGGCTGGAGCTAAAACCTGGAGCTCAAACCTGGAGCTCAGGGCTGGAGCTCAAACCTGGAGCTCAAACCTGGAGCTCAAACCTGGAGCTCAAACCTGGAGCTCAGGGCTGGAGCTAAAACCTGGAGCTCAAACCTGGAGCTCAGGGCTGGAGCTCAAACCTGGAGCTCAAACCTGGAGCTCAAACCTGGAGCTCAGGGCTGGAGCTCAGGGCTGGAGCTCAAACCTGGAGCTCAGGGCTGGAGCTCAGGGCTGGAGATCAAACCTGGAGCTCAAACCTGGAGCTCAAACCTGGAGCTCAGGGCTGGAGATCAAACCTGGAGCTCAGGGCTGGAGCTCAAACCTGGAGCTCAGGGCTGGAGATCAGGCCTGGAGCTCGAACCTGGAGCTCAGGGCTGGAGCTCAGGGCTGGAGCTCAAACCTGGAGCTCAAACCTGGAGCTCAGGGCTGGAGCTCAAACCTGGAGCTCAGGGCTGGAGCTCAAACCTGGAGCTCAAACCTGGAGCTCAGGGCTGGAGCTCAAACCTGGAGCTCAGGGCTGGAGATCAGGCCTGGAGCTCAGGGCTGGAGATCAGGCCTGGAGCTCAGGGCTGGAGATCAAACCTGGAGCTCAGGGCTGGAGATCAAACCTGGAGCTCAAACCTGGAGCTCAGGGCTGGAGATCAAACCTGGAGCTCAAACCTGGAGCTCAGGGCTGGAGCTCAAACCTGGAGCTCAGGGCTGGAGCTCAAACCTGGAGCTCAGGGCTGGAGATCAGGCCTGGAGCTCAGGGCTGGAGATCAAACCTGGAGCTCAGGGCTGGAGATCAAACCTGGAGCTCAGGGCTGGAGATCAAACCTGGAGCTCAAACCTGGAGCTCAGGGCTGGAGCTCAAACCTGGAGCTCAGGGCTGGAGATCAAACCTGGAGCTCAAACCTGGAGCTCAGGGCTGGAGCTCAAACCTGGAGCTCAGGGCTGGAGCTCAAACCTGGAGCTCAAACCTGGAGATCAGGCCTGGAGCTCAGGGCTGGAGATCGAACCTGGAGCTCAGGGCTGGAGCTCAGGCCTGGAGCTCAGGGCTGGAGATCAAACCTGGAGCTCAAACCTGGAGCTCAAACCTGGAGCTCAAACCTGGAGCTCAGGGCTGGAGCTCGAACCTGGAGCTCAGGGCTGGAGCTCAGGCCTGGAGCTCAGGGCTGGAGATCAAACCTGGAGCTCAAACCTGGAGATCAGGCCTGGAGCTCAGGGCTGGAGATCGAACCTGGAGCTCAGGGCTGGAGCTCAGGCCTGGAGCTCAGGGCTGGAGATCAAACCTGGAGCTCAAACCTGGAGATCAAACCTGGAGCTCAAACCTGGAGCTCAGGGCTGGAGATCAAACCTGGAGCTCAAACCTGGAGCTCAGGGCTGGAGCTCAAACCTGGAGCTCAGGGCTGGAGCTAAAACCTGGAGCTCAAACCTGGAGCTCAGGCCTGGAGCTCAGGGCTGGAGCTCAAACCTGGAGCTCAGGGCTGGAGCTCGAACCTGGAGCTCAGGGCTGGAGCTCAAACCTGGAGCTCAGGGCTGGAGATCAAACCTGGAGCTCAGGGCTGGAGATCAAACCTGGAGCTCAAACCTGGAGCTCAGGGCTGGAGCTCGAACCTGGAGCTCAGGGCTGGAGATCAAACCTGGAGCTCAAACCTGGAGCTCGAACTTGGAGCTTGAACCTGGAGCTCAGGGCTGGAGATCAAACCTGGAGCTCAGGGCTGGAGCTCAGGGCTGGAGATCAAACCTGGAGCTCAAACCTGGAGCTCAGGGCTGGAGCTCAAACCTGGAGCTCAGGGCTGGAGCTCAGGGCTGGAGATCAAACCTGGAGCTCGAACCTGGAGCTCAGGGCTGGAGCTCAAACCTGGAGCTCAGGGCTGGATATCAAACCTGGAGCTCAGGGCTGGAGCTCAAACCTGGAGCTCAGGGCTGGAGATCAAACCTGGAGCTCAGGGCTGGATATCAAACCTGGAGCTCAAACCTGGAGCTCGAACCTGGAGCTCAGGGCTGGAGCTCGAACCTGGAGCTCAGGGCTGGAGCTCAAACCTGGAGCTCAGGGCTGGAGCTAAAACCTGGAGCTCAAACCTGGAGCTCAGGGCTGGAGCTCAAACCTGGAGCTCAAACCTGGAGCTCAAACCTGGAGCTCAAACCTGGAGCTCAGGGCTGGAGCTAAAACCTGGAGCTCAAACCTGGAGCTCAGGGCTGGAGCTCAAACCTGGAGCTCAAACCTGGAGCTCAAACCTGGAGCTCAGGGCTGGAGCTCAGGGCTGGAGCTCAAACCTGGAGCTCAGGGCTGGAGCTCAGGGCTGGAGATCAAACCTGGAGCTCAAACCTGGAGCTCAAACCTGGAGCTCAGGGCTGGAGATCAAACCTGGAGCTCAAACC